AATTTGATGATGTGGTTTGTAATATTCTCACCTATGTCACTGATGTATATGATAAAGGGTGGCCCCAAGATGGAACCTTGTGGTACCCCACTAAGCACATTTCTCCAGTCAGATTCCTTTCCATTTAGGACGACCCTTTGCTTTTCTAGTTTCAACCATTATTTAACCCAGTGTATTGCTTTGCCACTTATTCCATTCCATTAATGGAATAAATGGTAAACTCAATCATTGGCTTAGCTCAAACCTGGTGAGCTCTTACTGGCTCTCAAATATAGACCCTTCAGATTGGTCAGAGTCGATTTCAATGGTATTAAAACATCTTCTAGCTAATATAAAAGTATTATAGGTTCGCTGACACATATTATTAACCCCAATATATATATAGCTCAGAAAGCATTTACATCTAGAGAACGACATTAGTACACTACGTAGAGAAATGAATGAACAATACAAAGTCAAGTTAAACAAAGTAAGACGGAACAGTCATATATAATGATAAGACTCGCGTAATTCCACTCCCACATCCCTTCCCACCAGATGACCCACTCAAATCACACTCCTCCAACATCGCCCCACTACTTTCACCTGCTTCCATCCCCTTCTGCATCGCCTCTCCTCTACCCACCCTCCCCAGCCGTCCTCCACTCAAGTTTGTTTGGCCAACTAATAAAGCCCTTGTTTTATTCTGCCATTTGCATATTATTAAAATTTTATCACAACTTTGGGGGGACAGAACAACTTTTTTGATGTCCCAAGAAGTCTGTATCTTTTAGTTATTTTTCATTTTCTTCCTTTCCTATATTAACTGGCTAAAACAGCACAAGTGTCTCAACTACAACAAATAAAGGTGGATCACAATACAATATTTGTAAGTTTATCACTACTTCAACTAACCACACCAGCAACATGCACATCACTGCTTCAACTGCAACAGCAACATGTATATCGGTACCGTCTTAATCTTTGCCCATTGCTCTTTATAATCTATAAGAACCCTCCTCGAGGCAACGAGTTCATAAACGTCAATGTTTGCAGACGACCCATAGCTATTGAGGGAAGTAAAAACTCAGGCCTGTAAAATGCTACTATTAGAACTTAAATAATCCCAGGCATGGACAAATGGCTGTTATAATTCAGCTCAAACAACTATTAGGTAATGAAGATATGGGAAGAATGAAACGACACCGGAAACACCCTAAAACGTTAGGGGAAAATAAATTTTCTAATAAAATTATTTGAAAAAAAAAAAAGCATGGAAGTAGATATAATTCAAACATTAACACCAAAGGATCACAAGATACACCAGCCTATGTTAGGTCATTTCGAGAGTATGCAGTACAGCATGGAATACACACCTTGGGAAACACAAACAGAAACTTTAAAAAAATACAGAGAATTACAATACGACTAATACCAGAATTGAGAATACTGAACTACTAGAAGTTAAGGGAACTCAATTATCATAACCCACAGGCAGTAAAAGCTGAGGGCACATGATTGTTACATACAAAATACTGAGGGATACAGACAAGATGGACAAGGACAACCTCTTAAAATTTAGACAAGGTTGTACAAGAGAACATCAGTGGAAGCTGATAAAACAAGAGTCATGGGAAAGTAAAGGAAATCTTTGAACCATGTATGAGTGGTCATCTAGCAGACTTCAAGAGGAGGTTGTGGAAACCACTTTAATCCACAACTTCAAGAACAAAATAGGATAGAATTTGAATTCAAAGAGATTTAAAAAGCACACCAGGTACAAAATAAATAATCATCAAAAGGCAGCACCATCACCAGGTACAAATGGCCAAGATCGAGGCAGGGTATGAAGCCCAAGATATTGCTTTCCAGTAGTCACTGATAAGCACTTAGTTTGTCTACAGAACTCATCCTCATGATAAATGTATGATATATATTTTGCTCCTGACAGTATTTGCAAGCCACTAACACAATGCTCAGCACAATGCTGAGTCAGCCACCATTAAACTAGCCAGTCTAAGTTCTTGACAAGTGCCAAAGTTGAAATGCATTTGCCCAACCTGAAGCACGCTAACCTAGGCAACCCACTTAACTCAGCAGGGCCAATACAGTACTTATTATTCTAATAAAGTGTTAGTAATGCAATGCAGTACTTTTAAATTCACTAAAGTACCTGAATTTTACCATAATCATGAAACGAGGTGGATCATATATGAGAGGAACAGAATATCAGAAGAATGGGCCTTATGAACCTCATACAGGCAGTCCCATTACTATGAATGAGTTACGTTCTGAGGACATGCTTGTAAAGCATTTGTTTGGACCACGAAGCGAGATTCTTCATAGGCACAATGCTATAAATGGGAAATGTATTCCTGGGCCACCAAACATCTTCACAAAACCAATATTTTTGGGACAAAAAAACACAGCATATTATTTACCTTGAATGAAGTTGTCCTGCTTGTCAAAGTCGGCTGTTTTTTAGGAGTGAAGAGATCTAATTGGAGATGGCAGAAAATGGAAGTGGAGTGTGGCGATGCATCACCAGCAGTGCGGAGATGGTCATTTTCAGTGTCACTGGCTACATTTGATGTGGGAGATGATGTATGATTTCACAATACCCCCACCACCTCACCTTCCCTAGTGGGCCTTGTGGATGTTTTTGTACAACACTCCACCATGTGGCTGCTGCACATACAGTATATTTTAGTGCACTACCGCGAAATTCAAAAGGACACTCCGAAGAATTTGTACAATGATTTTATGCATAAACAGAGTATAGGGGGACCTGAGAGAATGTTCATATGCATGAATGCTCATAAAGCAAATGTTCATATAGTGGTAATGGCCTGCATTACCTTTCACTGGTCAACCCACACAAATATGTAAACCAGAAAATATGTAACAAGACCGAAAATATGTACAAAATATTTGTTTCCAAAGAAATGTTTAAGTGGAAAGTAAACAAAGGATAATGAGAACTACAAATAAGAACAGTGCCATGTATTCTGGAATAGCAGTAATATTGACAAAATCTGGAATATACTGGTAATATTACGACAAACAAAACTTCTCAATATTATTAAGTAAGTCCATCTGTGTAATACGCCTTTTGACTGATAACATTAAAAGTTTTCAAGAGACCACACACAGACAAAAATATTAATTTAGTAATGCTACTTAGCCACAATTTTTCTAAACAACACAATCTTGGGAAAGAAAAAAAAATGTTTACCAAAAAAAAGGTTTGGCTTTTGTTACAATGAAGTACAGAATTCAAGAGTTAAAACCCAAGCATTTGTATAACCAATTCTGCATACGCATTAAAATCACAGATTTATATGGAAGACATACTGAATGATGCCAAATGTTCAGCAACTTTAATAAACATCAGTGTGTTCAATAACCAAATGGCATTTGCTGTATTGATATGAATGTTTCAATATGCATTCAAAAATATACAAAAAACATTAAGTACTGTACTTTACCTAAACCAGCAAAAAATATTGTACGTGCCTACTATTAAGCTAACATTAGGGTATCACATACTTCATTTTAGTTAAATATTATAAGCAAACTTTTATCTAAGCTGCACCAGTTTAAACTTTCATGTACAAGAATTATTTGTAACTTTACCACAAGGTAATAAAACGCATGTTTTATTTCACCTGCGGATAACCCAGCCATCTACCTTGAAGTAATTATCAAAAAATACCCAGCCAGTATGGCTATATAGCTCGAGGAAATGCTTCATTGTTATTAGGCTCAAAATGTTTAATAGAATTTCGAATGCACAAGCAATTAACAAGTAATCCAAAAAGACTACTGCTTTGCAACTAAATGGTTTCAGTTATTTATTTAGTATGAAAAGCTTTGTACTTTTGTATCAGTTTGTCAAGACCAATACATAACAGCACAAAATTTCAAAGATGAACTTATCGCCAAACAAATGTCTGTAACCACACAAACAAGCAACCTTCTGGTCATTATCATCAGTCAACACTTGCTTCAAATTATTTGCAAGACATTGTTAGACTGAAAAAGGCTTAATACAATACAGATGAAATGGTAACCACTAATCTTTAATCAGTGCTTGCCGATACAAGTGATGGACACTGATTTAATGAGTTCATTAATCCTCAGAAACAAATAGGAGAATACTATATACAGTAAATCTCTTATTTACAGATAAACTTCTATTTCAATTATATACAGAACATGCTTGCAGTATCCACAGAAACACCTTGCTTTTTTTCTTCAGAAGAATTTTGTCTGGTGGCTTGTTATTCAGGTGATATAAAGTATAATCATGTGAATACTCAAACAAAAAATATTTTTGCTTGGATTATGCAGTATGCTGTTGATGATTTCCTTAAGTAGTCTATCGTAGTACTTGCCACAAACATGTGTGTCTTCTATGCAGGCATTAACCCTAAAGAGAAGCAAGGTCTTTCAAAAAAGTCAAATAAATTTTTTTGCTACATTCTAAATGCAGCACAAAATGGCATCCTATACAAAATTAAATTAGGTTTTTCAAAGGAATTTTTCCATATATTTTTTCCATACCGTAACAAGCCTTATTTTTATCAATTCTTCAAACTTCTTTTTGCCTCATTTTTACTTACCTAGGAAGACCTCTTTCTTAACAGTCTTATGTACTTCATTTTAGTGTGTAAACAGTAATCAAAATACAAATAAATATGATAACTGCCACGTCTGGGGAAAATTATGCTTGATCATCTTCTTGAATACAAGTCATATATGAGGTGGATACTGTATTTATAATATATATTATATATATTATATATATTACATATATATATATATATATATATATATATATATATATATATATATATATATATATATATATATATATATATATATATATATATATATATATATATATATATATATATATATATATATATATATATATATATATATATATATATATATATATATATATATATATATATATATATATATATATATATATATATATATATATATATATATATATATATATATATATATATATATATTGAATCGTGTGAAATGATCATATATAATGAATCTTGTGAAATGATCAACATTAGTTAAAATGACTAGTAACACGTGTAATTATAAATTATATTAAAAAAATTAAACTTCCAAGTATCTTGATAGTAACCAGTCACTGCAAATACTGTATTATAAAAAAAAATATCCTGCCAGTAGTTACTGTTGCTAACCCAATTATTATGACCAATGTTCATGTTAAAATCATGCATATATTATATACATCATAAATCTATGTCATTTTATTTACATTATGATCAACAGAAAGTAGTGTCCTGTGAATATGCCCCTGCGAGACGAAATTCATTTTGAAGAATAACAGCAAACATGCGGTGAGGAACTGGACGCGAGTAAGGTGCAGGTGCTGGTACCAGTGTACGCAAAAGATATTCACGACCAGCTGGGCGTCCTAATTCACTTGCAGTTCCAGCATGGTTAGAGCTCATAGATGAACGACGCCCTTCATTAGTGCTTGGATTTTCTTGGGGGGAATCATCTACCAACATTGATGCCTTAAAGACAAATATAATTACATTAATATTATATAATAAAGAAAAACTATATTACATTCATTAATCAATATCAATCTAAGCAAATACTGTACTGTAATGAACTTACTCTTCGAGCCTGTTGAAACAGTTTCCTGATAACTGCAGCAGCAGGACCTCGAGGTCCACCATCAAGGATCACCTCGGGCGAGTTCAAGAGTCTCAGAACAAGCTCCTCCAGAGCCAAAGGAGAGGAAGTATGTGACTCAGTGGTGTCTCCTAGAAGCTTATGCCGCACACTCTGTGCTCGGGCTATACAAGTTTCAACTTCTGTTATTTGTTCAATAACTTCCTGATACCTGTATGTAGAAAACAAAAGGATTAATAAAACCACAATCATTCACATACACAAAGAAATCACACTAACATTATATGTATCAATGAGAAAATCAACTGGAGCAATAAGTTGCTTTGAACCAGTGAACAGGATATTCCCAACCATGTACCTAACCCCTGTACCACAACATGGTATAAGTTATACAACCATGTTGTTGTACAGGGGTAAGGTGCACGGCTGGGAGTACCTTGATCGCTGGATCAAGTCACACTGTAAAATTCAACTGATTTTCTCATTTATGTATACAGTACTTTATCATGTAAGTGTGATTTCCTTGTGCATCTGAAGCTGGAGCAGTTAATGTACTACTTTACCTATACTAGAGTGTATAGTGGTTTTATGTAAAACTTGGAATGGGTTCAGTACAAGCCTCCAGATGTCCTGTGGATTCAGTGGAATCCCAGATTGTGTAACTTATATATTTTTATAATTCCAGGTAAGGCCTATGCCTTACAGACAAACATCATACACCGCCGCCGCACCGCTTGACCATGCAGCCTTCCCCTTCCCGGGAGGGTGAGTGGGGAGCCCCGGACCTCCGTGCCGGCTACTTACACCCACAGTTTGGAAGATGGGGGTGTGAATACATCAAAACATGAGTACAGTACATCAAAAAGAAAACAGAACCACCGACCGGAGGGAGGGAGGGTGCCAGGGAGCCTTTGGGGCTCACCCAGAAAATGGCCTGGTTTTCTGTGGGGGAGCCCCGTCGGCTCCCTGGAGCTACATAACCAAAGATAAGTAAAAGAAGGACTTACCTGGGAGGTGGCCGTCATGCGCTCCTCAACTCGAAGTCGAGACAACTGGCTGCAACCTGCAACCCAAAGCCACACAAGGGAGCCGGTCGGCCGAGCGGACAGCACGCTGGACTTGTGATCCTGTGGTCCTGGGTTCGATCCCAGGCGCCGGCGAGAAACAATGGGCAGAGTTTCTTTCACCCTATGCCCCTGTTACCTAGCAGTAAAATAGGTACCTGGGTGTTAGTCAGCTGTCACGGGCTGCTTCCTGGGGGTGGAGGCCTGGTCGAGGACCGGGCCACGGGGACACTAAAAAGCCCCGAAATCATCTCAAGATAACCTCAAGATAACACGAATGACCAGGACCAGAAATGTTTACCAAATAACGGGCAGCCAGGACCCTGTTCGATCTCCAAATCTCTGCGCCCAAATGTCAGCCCAAGACATGTTGCCAAAGATGGCAGCCAAAGCAGCAAACTTACGAACATCATGAGCACAAGGATAGACCGCAGGCTGGCTAGACTTAATAAATAACTCTTGTGACGATAATCTCTTTCAAGCGAGATTGAGCCTGCTCTTCCCTATATCATTCACGTCATTTTACAAGTACAAGATACTATATTGAAGATACGTCCACCAGTATCGCCAAACGTTTTGCCCAGGAAGCAAAGCGTACCTTGCACCACCCGACACGCCGGCTCCGCGCGTCGTCAACGAGCAAACTACCCATTCTCCGCCTGCCTGCTCCTGATTGGCTGGTGTATCGCCGACAACACCTGCACCTGCACTCACGCCCTCTACCTGAGTCGACGTCTGGGCCAGCTCACGCCGTACTCCTCGGAATATCTCTGTGCTCTTAGAAGTTGACATCTCTCTCTGGTAGACTAAGCCCTGGCTGTCGTGTACTAAGGGAGGTGGCAGCTCAAGCCAGTATTCTCAGCACCTGATTAATATTAATATTATCTTGCACTTCATTTTATTTTAGAGTAAATTTCACATCTATTAATTATTCATGTTGTTTTGTTTGTTGACTTGTTTTGAATTTTACGTAAGCCAAGGGATTGTCTTTGTTCATATCTTGTTTTCTAAAGTAATTAAAATTTCATTGTTTATATTTTGTGTTTTGTGTATCTTCCCATTACCTTACCACAGACAAACAGGCAAGCAGTCTCTTTTTTTTTCTGTAAGTGTGACAAGGCTCCACCTGCCATTGGAGAACTGCCGAACATCAACACTCCAACACTTTACCGTCACACTCTACTAAGGAAAAACCCTGCCAAGAAATCAAGGCCAGAGTTTACGACCGCCCCAGATCACATCAGCCAACGAACTGGGGGCGTGAGTAGCCAGCGCAGGGGTCCGGAGCTGGCTACCTCTCCTCCCGGGGAGGGGAGGGCTGCGCGGACGAGCGGCAGTGTATGATTGCTTGTTTCCTTGGGTGTTGGGGGAGTTCAGCCTCTTTGTTCGGTCTTCGGTTGCAATTTTTTTACCAAGCGGGGTTTGTTTTATTATGCCTACTTTTCTGGGTGCCTAACCCTGGCAGCCAAGGAATACTCCCAATCACAAGGGGGTTTTCCATAGGCCATTGCTTTCTGTGCCTCTCTGAGGGGACCGGGTTCTGGCTCGTGGTCCTTGGTAGGCTGAACTCTAATCGACTGATGCCCCAGACTAATATATCGCACATCAGTCCGATAGGTCTTTTTTTTTTTTTTGCAGGGATATTCCTGCGCGGGCCCTAAGCCTCTGGCTGGCCCACTAAGTGTTGCTTGTTTCTGCTGGTGTACTTCTGTTGTTCTACTACTCCCTTTCATCAAACTAAGTGGTTCGTAGTTGGCTGAATTCTTGTACCAACCCGCAGATCCTGATGTTGCAACTGCTGTGTTGTGGTCACTGTACATCTTTTGCATTGCTCTGTTTCTAATTACTTTCTTAATCTGTGATAGACTCTGTGGTATGTAAATGTCTACATTTCTTCTCTTAGTTGCAAGTTTTGCAGCTTCGTCTGCAATGTCATTTCCTATTATTCCCACATGACTTTGCACCCAGTTGATAAGTACCCGACGGCCTTGTTGTTTGAGTGTTTGCATTAATAATATGACATTTGTGACCAGATGGATGTTATCACATAGGTGTTTTTGTTGCAAGGTTTCAATGGCGGTTCTTGAATCTGTATGTATGATAACATGTTGTCGGTGTTCAGCAAGAGCATGTTCCAAAGCCTTTTGAACGGCTAGCATCTCTGTTTGTAAAGTCGAACACCTATTTGAGAGTCTCCAACTATTTACAGAGTTTCCTGCTTTAACTGCAGCTCTGGTTTCTTGTCCCTGCTGGTCTACTGATCCATCTGTGAAGTGAAGCTGTCGGATGCCAAGTTTGCTTCTACAGGCATACCTCAGTTTAAGAGTTTAATTGGTTCCTGGAGACGCCTCGTATTCCGAAAACTCGCATTCCAAAGCTAATTTCCCCATAAGAAATAAAGGGAAATGAATTAATCCGTTCCTGACTACCCCAAAAACCCCACATCAAACTAAATTTTTATACCTAATTCATCTAAATAAATCTACAAAACTATGTTCCAGTTATTACTTACCTTGCTGTTGAATGCTGTAGGCGTATGGAAGATGGTGAGGAGGAGAGGAGTTACTGTTTGGAAGGGGAGTCCCCTTCCATTATCACATCAGGCAGTGAAGACCTTTCTGGTGTGCTCTCCCTGGGACGTTTTATCTGAGTGCCACTAGGTCCTGGTTGAGGCTCACTGCTCAATTTCCTCACCACAAATCTGTCCAAACCCTGGCTTTCTCACAAATAATGGCCTCCGAAACACTGTCACCCCTTAACTTCTTGTCGTGTATCCAAATTTATAACAACTTTTCCACTTCAAGTATTTGTGGTCTTTGTTTCGTTATTGTTCTGACTCCTTTTGCCACTTTAGCACTCATAATCTCATTTTTCTTCTTAAGTACTAGTGCATATTGTTGATGTGGCTTTGTTGTACTGCCTACAAAGTTCAACAACACGTGTACCGTTCTCATGCTTCCGAATGATCTCGTTTCTCCTCTATTGTCATCCTCACATGGGCTTTCTGGCCTTTATCCTTACCACTGGCTTTCTTGGGACCCATGGTGAGATATATAATAACAAATTGTATAGTCAAATCACCAAAAATCCAACAAAACACTGAAAATCCGCGAGAAGAATTGATGTGGGGTAGTCACTGGGCGCGAGACAATGGTAAACTGAGGGGCGACGATCGCCGAACCACCACGCGATAGGTCGACCTGTACGCGTATCAACAAACTCGCGTCCCGAGGTAACCATTGCCTTCTGAGACATATTTTTCGAGGAAATCCTGCTCGTCTTCCGAAAAACTCGCATACAGGGACACTCGCATTCCGAGGAACCACTGTATATGCATCTGTGCAATGTTACATAGCAGATGAGGATTTGTCTGGTTATTTTTTCCTTCAAGAACCATAATCTTAAAGTCTGCTGATGGAGATTCCCAAGGGGTTTGCATACCAAAGTCTGCATGTATTTCGTTGACACCCCTCTCAGTGATTGTATTTGTTATATCAAATGTATTGATGTTGTTTATCGCACAATGGGTCCACCTGTTGCTATTGGAGGCTTTTCTGTCCAGAGTTAGTGCTCCAGTGATTATATCTTTTAAGTAAACTGATTCTAGGTCTAGTCAATATCTTGGTCAGCATGCACGCAGTAATCCCTTTTACCCTTATTTCAATCGATGTTAGCTTGGTTTCTAGTCTTAGGTTCAGTATTTTAGTCCATCTGGGAGCTCCTGTTATGATTCACAATGCATCGTTTTGAATGACCTCAACGTTTGCCCACTGACCAGGAGAAAGAGTGAGTAAGGCAGGCGCTGCATAATCAACTAGGGAACGGAAGGTGTGTATGTAAAACATTCTTAACACTTTGTGTCCCGCTCCTAGACGGGGCCCTGTGATTGCTCTCATTATATTTAGTCGTGATTTTGCTTTCTCCTTCAAATATTGAATTTGCTTGTTGAATGTCATTTTAGAATCTATCTACACTCCGAGATATTGATATTGTGTAACCCACTGAAGGTTAATGTCTTGAATGCATAGGTGCCTGTCTGGAGTGTTGCTGCTTAGTCTCATTACCTTAGACTTCTGTGCAGATATTTTTAGCCCTAAAATGCTGCATTCAGATGTTACTTTATCTAATGCACCTTGAGCTTTATTTA